GCTGTGGGGCTGGGACCCCTCCCTCCTCTGGGAAACCTCCGCAGCTGAGATTCCCTCCCGGGTTTCAATCGCGGCACCGGGTGTGGGCTCGCAGCACGTCTTTGTGATTCAGCCCCATCCGCCCGCATCTGCACCCCTCTTACTGGTTTCGGTGCTGCTTCAGGTCCCTGGTTGTGGGGCTTCTGTGCAGCCAGATCTCAGGAGGCTCTGAGTGCTGGTGGTTCTGTATTTTAGTTGTAATTTTGATGTGGTTGCGGGAGGCGGCGGGTGCAGCTGTTGCCTACGCCGCCATCTTGTTCCTCTCCCGACCTTTTCCTTTTTGATGACCAGTAAGTAGTATCGTTTCCAGGCCTCTCAACTTGCTTCCAGTCTGTGCTTCAAAGAGCTTTTTACTCCACAGGGTCTCAACAGGAAACTGCTGGCGAATTCAAGGAGGGTTTATTATAGGGGTGTCAGTGCAGGATCAAGCCCTTCCCCATATCCTGGCCCAGGGGATGAATACAAACAGGACCCTCCTGCAGCCCTTCTCTTCTCCTAGCCATCTCTTTGTACACACTGATTACATGTTGAAATATTTCTGGGTATCTTGAGTTAAAATGTATCATAAACTATTACCTTTTATTTGTAAAAATCAACTTTATTGAGGTATAATTTACATACATAAAGTTCACCCATGTTAAACATACCATTGAATGATTTTTAAATTTCCTGTATTGTGCAGCCATCACCCTAATTCAATTCTAAAACTTTCTCATTACCCTTCATAATACGATCCCTGGTGGCCATGGATTGTGTTAAAGCTCCTCAGGTGATTCTAACCTGTGGCTGGGTCCACAGTCCTGCTCAGGGTGGGCCTGGGGAAACAGGAGTGACATAATGTGGCCCACAGGTGCTGACGCACCTAGTTGACACTAAACTAGATGTGTATGGAATTTAAAAGAAGGTAAGCATTCTAGGCAGTGTAGGTTGTGGGGAGAGGGAAGGGTGCGGTGGGTGGGGAGACGATGGAGGCTGGCTGCTGAGGTGGGTTGTGGAAGCCCAAGCCCGGGTTCATCCTGCATTGTGGATAGTGCTGAGTGGTTGGGGGGAACAGGGATAAGGAAATAAGGGGGTACACTCCACATTTCCACCTGGAAAGAGAACCCTGTGCCTCTTCCCTAGTCCATACTTCCTACCTCTACTGGAGACTTGGAGGGGAGACTAGGGGGTGGGAACTGGGTGTGGGGAGCCTGTAAGACCCCATGCATGGCCCAGAGCCAGGTAAATTGGAGTCACTGTTGCCAGAGGGGTGAAACACCATCCGTGAGGACACACAGTGGGGCAAAAACAGAGGAGAGAGGACCCAGGGATTCTGCTCTTTGTACCTTGGTGTAGCCCCAAGCCTGGTCTGTCCTGTTCAGTCACAGCAGCATCCTGTGTGGCTTGGCAGAATCTCCACCACCTGGCACCCAGGCTGTCGTCATCCTGTGATTGCTCCTGGTGACTCATCCATTTGTGCTCATTTACGGTCGTCTATGGCTCTGGCAAGCTCTGGTGCCCACAAGGGCTGGGCTGCCGACCAAGACAGCAGCAGAGTCCTCTGGGATGTGCCCATTTAATCCTGGTCTGTCCTCTTCACCTTCAAGAGAGCAACTTAGGGCGTATTACACCCACTGGTTAGTGATCCTATACGTGTCCAGGAAGTCGGTTGCAAGCAATAGACCCACCTTGGCTAAAGTAAGAAAGGGATTTGTTAAAAGATACCAGGTGTTCCCAAATCTGTGGGAGAGTTAGAACGCAGGTTTTGAAGCGACACAGCAGGGAAAGACTGCAACTGCACTATGGGGGCTGCACTGGTGACACCATGGCTGCCATGTCTGTTCTGGTGAGTTGTGCCTGGACACTGAAGGCTCAGCTACTGCTGAGCACCTGGAAGACCAACAACCTTGCCAATCATACTTTACAAAGTTGTCTCCCCAATATTTCCAGTACCCACCTGGCACCACAGTTATTACAATATTATTGACAGTATCCCCTAGGCTGTACTTTACATCCCTGTGACTATTTTGTGACTACCAATTAGTGCTTCTTAATCCCTTTGCCTTTCCTACCCAGCCCCCTAACCCCCTCCCATGTGGCAACCCTGTTTGTTCTCTGCATCTGAGTCTGTTTTGTTCATTCATTTTCTTTAGATTCCATATATGTAATATCAAATGGCATTTGTCTTTCTCTGACATTTCACTTAGCATAATACCCTCTAGGTCTACCCATGCTGTCAGTGGTAAGATTTCATATTCTTATGGCTGCATAGTAGTCCATTGTATTTATGGACCGCCGCTTTTTATCCACTCACCTGCTGATGGGCACTTGGGTTCCTTCCTTATCTTGGCTATTCTTCATAATGCTGCAATGAACAAAAGGGTGCATATATTCTTTGGAATTAGTGTTTTGGGTTTCTTCAGTTATATAACAAGAAGTGGAATCGCTGGATCATAAGGCAGTTGCATTTTTAATTTTTTGAGGAACCTCTATAGTTTTCTGTAGTTGGCTGCACCGAGCTGCACTCCCACCAACAGTGCACGAGGGCCCCCTTTTCTCCACATCCTCGCCAGCACTTGTTGATTTGACAGCTATTCTCACGGGTGTGAGGCGGCATCTCACTGTGGTCTTAATTTGCATTTTTCTGATTTGTGATGTTGAACATTTTTTCATATGTCTATTGGCCATCTGTATGTCCTCTTTGGCGAAGTGTCTATCCAGGTCCTCTGCCCGTTTTTTAATTGGATTGTTTGGGGTTTGGTGTTGAGTTGGGCTCTTTAGAAATGCTGGATATTAACCTTTATAGGATGTATCACTGGTAAATGCCTTTTCCCATTTGGTGGGCTATCTTTTCAATTGTTGATGGATTCCCTTGCTGGGCAAAAGCCTTTTAGTTTGATGTCCTATTTTTAAAATTTTGTTTCCCTTGCCCGAGAAGGTACATTAGAAAAAAATAGAGAAATGTCAGAGATTTTACTGCCTATGTTTTCTTCCAGTTTTATAGTTTTGAGTCTTGCATTTAAGTTTTTAATCCATTTTTATTCTTGTATATTGTGTAAAGAAGGCTAGTTTCATTTTTTTGCATGTATCTGTCCAGTTTTCCCAGCACCATTCATTGAATAGACTCTCTTTACCCCACTGTATGTTCTTGCCTCCTTGTTAAATTTTTTAAATATATTTTTATTGACTTCAGAGAGAGGAAGGGAGAGGGAGGTAGAAGCATCCATGATGAGAGAGTCATTGATCAGCTGCCTCCTGCACACCCCCGGCTAGGGATCAAGCCCGCAACCCAGGCATGTGCCCTGACTGGGAATCGAACCTTGATCTCCTGGATCATAGGTCAATGCTCAACCACTGAGCCATGCCAGCCTGGCATCCTTTGTTAGATATTAATTGACCACATAGGTGTGGGTTTATTTCTGGGCTATTTTGTTCCATTGATGTATATGTCTGTTTTAATGCCAGTACCATGCTGTTTTGATTACTGTAGCCTTGTAGTATAGTCTGATGATACGCAGCATGATGCCTCCAACTTTTTCTTTCTAAAAACTACTGTGCCTATGTTTGTCTTTGTAGCTGAGATGGGTCTCCTGAAGGCAACAAGTGATTGGGTCTTTTTAATCCATCTGGCTACTCACTGCCTTTTGATTGGTAAGTTCAGTCTATTTACATTTAAGGTGATTATTGATGTATGAGGACTTACCACAGCCATTTTATCTTTTGTTTTCTGGTTGCCCTTTGTTTCCATTGTCTTTTCCCCCGCTTGTGATTAAGTGTATGTAAAAAAGTTTCACACATAGTCCTTTTTCTTCTGGTTGCATCTTATAATCCTTTACCTGTGCAAGTTCAGTCCTTCCCCCCTCCCTTTTAATGTTTCTCTTTCTCTCTCCCCCTCTCCATTCCTCCTTCTCTAAAATCAGTAGAAACATATACTTGGGTGAGGACTTTAAAAAAATAATAATTTAAAAATAATAAAAGGGGAAAGTATTTTTTGAAAAGACTAACTTCTGTAATTTGGAAACGAACACATAAATAAAAGGGGATACTTTGCTTCAACCTGACTCCTGCATCAACCATAACGTAACACTAGGGGCTGGGAACTTCCCTAAGCACACTTGATGGGAACGTGTTTTTAACTTACCTAAAGAGACTGAAGGACACTAACTGAGGTACACGCCTATTCTGGCCGGTCCATTTCCCTGCCTGTTTCCCTCCTGCTGTGGGTAAGGAGTGGGGCAACCATGGCAGTCCTTCGGCACTTCTCCAAGCTGGCCTGACTGTAGTCACTCCTGGCATCCCTGTGCATCTGCAGGATTATCCATCTGGGAGAGACCACTTATTGGGGGGGGAAAAAAGGGAGGATTCTCCAAAACTACTTGGTTCTCCTCTAGCTTGACAGGTTTCTTTAACCTCTACCATGTTTCTTTTTCTTCTGTCTCAAAGAGAGTCTGGGCAGGTTCCACATGGGCAACCTAGAGGTCCCTCCCTCCCTTCCCAGAGGGCTGTTACAAGACACCATGTCACTGTAGGGCACAGGAATCATGTGATGGCTACCAAAGAAAAATCTACAGAGAGAAAGTATGTAACTGGTAAGCAACTGGTTTCCCAGCTTACTAAAGATGGACCGTTATCATTAATACCACCATGATCAATAACTTTTAAAAAGTATTAGGCATTTTTCCTTGCCTGGCAAAAAAATTCGAAAAAAAAAATTATCCTGTAATTTATATGAAAGATCTCATTCTTGCTACCCTTAATGTATTAGTAGAAATGAATAATCAGTTTGAAAAAGACATACATATTAGCAAAATACTGTTAAAAGGTTTATTGTAACAATACAGTAAAAGTTTAGAAAACATTTGTATGACTCAAACTGGTTTGGAAATTGCAGAGCAATGGGAAATTCCTGCAACGTGACACCACGAGGAGATTCTCAGACGCATAGTTCCTTTAACAGCATGCCACCAAATGCTCTTCCCAAATCACCACCACTCAAATCCTTAAATGCATCCTGTCTGCTACACCCGATGCTGACATATTTTTCATCTTAATTTACAGATGTGCAAAACTTTTCTTAGTCATACTCCATTACTAAAAAGTCTTTAACAGACCATTTAAGCAGCCTATTGGTGCCTCTGGGTTTTTATTAGTATTACTTTGTTTCAACAAATCATTTTAATATGGAAAAAAAGACCAAGTTCTATGGCTTTTTGTTTAAAAATAAAAACCAGCTTCAATTTTTTTCAAAAAGCTGTTTACATATGGTTCTGGCACCTACATGAAAGATTTTAATGAGCAGCAAAGAGAGTAGAAAAAACAGTGGTTGAAATGTATACTTAAGAATATTTACAGGGTGGATCCAGTGCAAAAGAATGAAAACCAAAATACCTCAGCAGCGTAAGCCAGTATGTTGGTATTCATAACCACTACGGGTTTGATCATTTAACCCCAAGTAAAGTGCCTCTAGTTGATAACAACAAAATATACCCTATCAATCCCTAAGTTTCCCATATTCTTGCAGGGTTTGTTGAATACTCTAGTTATGAGTTTGTGACCTCTGGATTCTGTTCTTTAGCTTCATCTCACACGCATGGTTTCATAAGAGGGTTACTTGAGAAAAACCACGGCTGTTGTCTCAAGCCCCAAATCCCAGCCTTTCAACTCTTGAGATTAACTCTTCTTTCTGAGGGCTGGAAATACCTAGATAACTCATCTCATGGGATTTGAAGATCACTTAGTGTTTGTTCAAGTCTACCACTCCATGAATTACAGGCTCGGATGGTACAGCGCAAGCCCAGCAACAAAGCTGAGCAGTTAAATCATAGCCCGTGTCCTCCCAAAGTGGAAAATTCATAGTCAGGGAATTTGGGACTCCTGGATAGGAATAAACACCCTTCTGCAACTCTACCCAAAACTGTAGCAAACACTAATATACCAATAGCAAAAGCTATATATAGCACCTCGGGTTTAGAGGCAAAGTATCATCTCTAATAATTAAAATGAGAAAAGAAGCTAGGGCAGGGCAACCCCCCAAATGATTTATCTGAGGTACTATCATGCTAACCACACTAATAAGATATGGTAATAATGCCTGTTAGGAATTTTTTCATAGGATTTCTTTTTGTAGGTGTTACATAGGATATTTTTGCAGTTATTAAAAATAAACTACTTACATATTTGTACATAATGCCTCTATGATTTTCTTCTAAGATTGTCACTAAAAGAACAACAAGACACTTAGCTGACAATGGTCTCTTGGTGAGGAAAATTCTTCCCACAGGGCTTCCCCAGGAGAGAAGCGTAGTATCAGCTATAACGATTTGCTCTGCATTTCCGAGGGAAGGTAGTGTCCTTAAAGCAACAAAGACTCTAGGAAACAAGCAATCAGGATGATTTCCCTGGAAAAACCTGCCATCTACTAAATCCCTTAGAAAGAAACTGGACACCAGAATACCAAAGGCCACTTAATTAAGTGGCTTTTAACCGGTGCCTAAGCAGGCTTACACTAGCAAACGATCTTAACAACTTTAATCTTTGACTCATAGAAAATAAGTTCCATTTCAAAATGCACATAGTGTAAATGGTAGGAATTCAATAATCTAGGTAAGGATGAACTTAATTCCACTCAGAATATAAGAAATAGGTTTAAAATCTCTAGGACATTATTGCAGCTAGAATTTCTTCTGTTCATCGATGTGGGTCCTAAAGAAAAGCTTAGTTTCTTTGGTGTGTGGGGAGAAAGAAAAACAGGAATGTCTGACAAGCTACGACAGAGCAGCACAAGTGAAATAATTTTTAAACTACCCATCCCCCTCCCTCCAAAAAACACCACCCCTTCCAAACAAACCGAAATCCTTGACCTAAACATGACCCAGACATGACCAAATTATAAAGAAATCAAGTATTTCAAGTTGCCTGCTGGTTCTCTGTACAAAAATGATCGCATAAAAACTAATGTTACACAGTTTTTAATCTTTCAAGTCCTAATCATCAAGAGTCACTTCCCTGTGATTCAATCTCTAAAACGTAAAGTGTTCAGGAATAGTCTCAGCATCGCCAGGACCGACATGTCAGCCTGTGTCTGCGGCTCCTCCGGCCTGTAATCAGAGGGAGCCCCAATGAGTTTCTGCCTTGACAGAGCTGGCCTCGTGCGCTGGTCCTCTCCCACCGACACTAGTCAGGGTAGAAGGACCTTTTGACCCCTCTGTTCTATTAATTATCCTAAGCATGTCGGTCACCAACATTGGCCATTTGACAAACAGAAATGTTTGTCTCCCTGCTTAAAAAAAAACAAAACAGTTTAAAACCTCTTTGTTGCAGGCATGACCTTACCTACATACATAAAGTTTACTAGTGTACTTTCCTGATGCAAATCTGGCATGTTTTGATCCATGCTCATTAACGGTGTCCAGTGTAAGCTTTAAGCCAGGAGGTCACCGAGGCTGCAGCGGAGGAGATCATCCCGCCGGCGCTGCTGCTGGCGATGGGCGGGGATGTCTGGGTGCTCTGGCTCTGCGAGACTTCCACGGGCTGGGAAGGGATATCACAGAACCGGGGGCTTGGCAAGTTCTCCCAGTCTGTTCCCAGGTCAGTCTCCTCGTCACTTATGTGCTCGTCTCCACTCTCATCTGACTCTCCAGCAACTCCGGGATCCACAAACTCCATGGACTCCTCGAGGTCCGCTCGAACTTCAAAGGGTCCCGACCTGTGTGCAGACAGTGAAGGGTCTCTAAGACCACCACTCTCACAACATGTGACAACAGGTGACAGAAGAACTGATGGCACATAGGAGACCAGAGCTGTCACCGCACCCGGTTCCTAAGTTTGCACTGTATTCACTCACTGTTGGTTTATAATTTAATTTTTCTTTAAATAATAACTGCCGTCAAAGTAATGAATAATTTCATGACACAGCACTTCTCCTTAATTCCACCTACTCTGTGAAAACGCTGGATGGAAAAAAACCATCCACTGAGACCATCCATTCTGGTCCAAAGTATGATTTTTCTGTTTTAAACCGCACTGTCAATGCATTCCAATGACACAATTCTGACAAAAACGGTCACCTGACACATACACTTGGGCACATCAGTTAGTGGAAAAAGTACCAAGTGGTATCCTAGAAAACTGTAAGATGTTCTCTGCCTTGTGGAAGCCCTCGACTATTAAACTCAAGACCCACAAGAGCTAAATGATACGGCCATATGCACGTTAGCAAAGCTTCCTGGGATTGGTGTCAACAGCAGGCTCCCATACACATTTCGAGATCACCACACAATTTTCTAGGGACACATTTATAGCACAGAGTGAGACATTACTTAGAATACATTATCTGGAATACTGTGTATTTCTGCACCATCTTTCAGGAAAAAACTATTTTTACTTCCCAAAGGTCCCTAATAATATCCTCACCTCCAAATCTAATAACCTTTCTTAGACCTCACTCCCTGGGACAGCCCCTCAATGCCGCTGTGTGGAACAAACCCCACCAGGCCTCTACTTCTCCCTTGTCCCCTTCCCAGTGCCATTGCTCCTGACTCACGGGAGCCAGGCCGAATCTCCTTGGGGCAGGCAGTCACCCCAGCCACGCCCTCTGGGGGACTTCCCTGCAGCCAGCTGTAGGGTGGGACCAAGTCCTTCCAGCAGCTCCTCTCTCCACTGTTGCCCCCAAGATAAGGTCCAATGCTTCAGTTCACCTAAGTTTCACTAGTAATTACTTAGGGGAAGGTGACAGAGGATAGCAAAAATAACAGAGAAATGAGAAATATCCTAGAATTGTTAGTCTATGGCCCAAAATTCTTTACAGTCTTTGTAATGATAAAAGCCTAGTGTTGGCCTCTAATGTATCTCCCCAGACCTGGACCTTCTGACTCGCTTTTTCCAAAGTCAAGCAGATATTATTCTTAAAAAACAACCCTGCTTCCCACCTGGAACACAGCAACAGCAATAGCTAATGTTTTTGTCCTAGGCACTGTTTTTAGGGCTTTACAAGTATTAATTAGATTGGAAGATGTGCTCGATTCCGGGTCAGGGCACATGCCCGGGTTGTGGGCTCAATCCGGTCAGGGGTGTGAAGGAAGCAGCCAATCAATGACTCTCTCATCACTGACATTTCTATCTCTCTCCCTCTCCCTTCCTCTCTCTGAAATCAATAAAGATTAAAAAATAATAATTAGAAGATGTGCCACAGGGTATCCCGTTGGTCTCTAGTGAACAATTTACTTTCCAAAAATCCCCAGATCAGGGATTGCCAGGCTTACTAGGCCTCCACCCTGCCCAGAGAAGTTCTGATTTTGCAAGGAGTGAAGGAAACAAGAATTGGGAGGGAATTCTCCCCACAGTCTTCCTCCCCTTGGAATGGCTGCTGAATTAAGTACTTCAAATGACAAACTAGTGGATGATTCCCACAGCAGCCAGTAGGAACAATTTTAGTTCCAATGACTGACCTACATTTCTAAGTACCACGAGGAGCAGAAGAGACCCCTTACAGAGGCGGCTAGGACATTTCTCCACTAAAAGCCTTTCCCCCATCACTTCCAGCATAATCTGTTACCTGCCCAGCACACCTGTGCCACACCACACAGAATTAACTAGCAGAAGAATTAAGTCTTTCTGCTTAATGTCTTCAGGGAATACAGATTATAAAATAATTATTCCAATATTCAGTATACTTGAATAACTGGCATTTTATTCAACACCCTGAAGCCAGAGTACTCATTTTCTCATGATATAAGGAGTTATTTTTATCGATTAAGGCAGCAAAAAGATCTTGGCTTTTTAAAAGTCTCTTTTTGCAAAATAGCTTATTTCAAAAAATATTACAAAATGTAGAGCATTGAGAGTAATGTAAACTCTGAACTCTGGACGATAATGATGTGTGAATGTAGGCGCCAACACAGTAAAAGACAGAGTTGGATAAGACCCATCAATAGATATTAAATCCAGGGGGGGCATTCCTATGAGCAAGACAACTGTGTGGTCTCCAAGTGTCCCCACACACTGCAAGGAAGGAACCGTAGGAATTACACAGTGGAGAGTTTAGAAAGCATCTTGACTGGATGACTGAATTAGCATCACCAATGAAGAGGACAGATGGGTAACTGTGGGTCCCCAGACGTGAAACCCAGAGGCACTGCTGCCGAGGCAGTGCCCAGCCTACAATGCACAGCCTGAATCTCATCGCAAGGAACAGCCAGTCTCAAAACGAAAGTCCTCCTTAAAAAAGGAAAAAAATGTTAATGTCATAAAAGAAAAAGTAGGCTGTGGAAATGTTCCAGACTTAAAGAGTCATAGCAATTAAATGTAACACCGGAATCTAGACCGGATCCTGGATGGGGAAATGCAATAAAGGACATTATCTGATCCACTGACAAAATGTGCATGTGTGCAGTATTTTAAAATATTATATCAGTGTTAAATTTACTGATGTTGATAACTGGGCTGTGGTGAATAATATACCCATTTTAGGAAATATATATTGAATTATTTAGGGGCCAAGAGCCAAGACATATGTAATTTATCCTCATAGAGTTAGAAAGAAAATATTTTTGTGTGTATATTTATGGAGAGGGGAGGAGGGAAGGAGGAGGGAGAACGCACAAATGATAAAGCAAATGGGGCAAAACTAACAAAGGTGAATCTGGGTAAAGGATATATACATCTTTGTACTTTTTGTTTTGGAATTTTTCTGTAAGTTTGAATTTACTTCAAAGAAAAAAAGGAGTTTATGTTGGATTCAGAATGGAGTCCTCAGCTCAGCTGGTGTCAGTGGAAACAGGAGGTCCCACCCAAGTTCCATTACCACCTCTGAGCCTGACTGAGGGAGGTGTGACAAGGGGACTTCTGAGGTGCTGACCTCCTGGCTCACAGACCAGGAAAACTAGATGTGATGACAGTCTGGCTGTGAGTGCACTTCTGTAGGCCTCTGAACGGAGGCCTGACTCAAGGGCAAGCCCATAGAAAACTTTAGATCCACAAGGAAGTCCACCCTAGTATAAGACTGCCTATTTTCCTAACCACCATCAACACTGGATATCATCAATCCTTTCCTTCTTGCTAAACTGATTGATGAAAAACCTGTTTTGAGTTGCATTTCTTTATTCTTGACAGGGCCTAGACTTTTTTCATTTGAATTCTGACTGCTTGCATTTCTTTTGTATGAACTGCCTACCTGAATACTTTGTGTTTTTTTATGAGGCTGCTTACCTTTCTTTTATTGACCTGAAAGATTTTAGTCTAGATTTTAATCCATCGCCTCTTACAGAGATTGCAAAATATATCTGTTGCTGGTCTTTTAACACTGTTTATGGTATCTTCTACCAGAGACATTTAGTTTTTATACAGCAAAATGTGTAACTCCTTTCCTTTATAGGTTTTGTGGCTTGGTTGGGAATTCCCTCCCCATCCTATGATTATAAAACACTGTCTTTTCTCCTAGTTATGATTTTTTTAAAAAAATTTAGTCTTTTATATCATCTGGCATTAATTTTTGTATGTGGAACGTGATATAAATCCAACTTTTTCCCCATACGAATACCCAAGTGGCCCACCAGCACCAAGCTGCTATACTATGACTCGACACACCACCCGCGACACGCTGTACCCCCCAAGGGTCTGTTTCTGCACTTCCTTCTCTTCGTCTCATTGCTCCGCCTATTTGCATGCTAACAGCGCCCTGTTTTAATTGCCTTTATTTATACTATGTTTTAAAAGGGGCCAAGACCATCCCTTATTATTATTTCTCACAATCTCCTTGCAGACTGTGCTTTTAGTTAAACATTAGAATCAGCTTGTCAAAGTTCCATGAGATACCTGCTGAAATTCTGACCAGGTTTCCTTTTTGGAAAAAGTGGCCTTTTTACAATACAGAGCTTTCCTTCCTAGAAAATCATAAGGGTTCCACTGCCCTGGCCTTCTTTCATTCATGCCACGCCTCACACCAGACCAGGCAGACGTGCAAAAATTGCACATTGAATATCTTTTATTTGTGTTGATCCTATATTTAGTCACCACACTGAACTATCATTTCTAATAGCTTCTTAGTTCCTTAGGGTATCAGGTTCAGTCATACCATCTACAATACTGTCAGCTTCGTTTCCTTCTTTCTAATACAAATACACCTTTGTTAAAATGTTCTGCCTTGGCTGGGCCTTCAGAGCCATGTTAACACGGCAGTGCTAGGAGGGCATCCTCACTTCTTCCTGACTGTAGGGGGTGGTCTCCATTAAATATCTCTGTAAGTAATGTGGCATCAAGTATAGCTTTTGCTACATGCTTATGGTAGACATCCTTTATTAACCTCTTTTTAACTCAATAGTAGTTTTCTTTAATTATTTACGGAACTGAATTTTATTGCTTTTCTGGCATCTATCAGGTTAATCTTATGTTTTTTCTTTAATATGCTAATGTGATAAAGTGATGTGCACTGGTTAAAAGCATGAGTATCTACTACTTGGGCATCGTCAGCCAGATATGTGTTGGGACCTGGCTCTACCACTTTTACTGGCTCTGTGACCATGGGCAAAAGTTACTTGGTGATGCTAAAACTCAGTGTAAAGTAAGAATAATAATCCTACCTAGATTTAAGACATGTAAAGTACTTAGCCCAGTGTCAATAAATACTCAACCAAATATTAGTTCTTGTTACTAATGATGAATTTCCTAACGCTGAACCCTTTACAAACAAGGTACAGAGAGGATGTCAGAGGATAGAGACCTTGGGTTCTTCTATCCTGTTTCAGGTTAAAAATACTTGATATTAATTTTTTCTAAGAAATGCTCATTTAGGAGCCATAATGGTTCAAATATGATTAGCCATTGTTTCCTTCTATATGGGACCGCATTATGTGTGTCCCTTTTGGAGAGTTTGGGGCAAGGAACAGGCCCCTTCCTATACATGGCCAACACATACAACTACTCCACTTAGAAGCAGTCACAACAGTATCACTTAGAGAAAAGCAACAAACACCATTCTTACCTGCCTAGGTGTTCAGAATTCGGGCTGACCAGGTACATTAAATTCCTGAGGGTATGCAGTGGTTGTAATTGATCTAAATTTACATGCTAGCAAAAGAAAAAAATTGATTACTATTTTCAACCATGTTAAGAAATTAAAAAATTAGCTCACAGCGTATTTTCCATACCTGAGAAAAGCACAGGTAAAGAATATTTGCATTCAGTTTCTTTACTGCTCGAGTAAATTTCTGTCTGCTGAGATTTTCCCCACAAAATTCACTGTAAAACAAACATAATTTGTAAAGTTGTATTTTTTGGAGGAAATTCTAAGTTAAAATGTTCACTTTGAAGAGTATGCTTTACACTGCAGCTCAGTATAAAACCTACCCTGTGCCTTTGCCTCTTAAATGTACTTAGAAACTTTCTAAGAATGAACTAGTCCCCTCATGGAGCAATTTCACTGCATCTATAAAAATTACAAATACGTATACCCTTCCACAAGCAATTCCACTTCTGAAAATTTATTCTGCACAAGTACTTGCAAACTTATGAAATGTCGACTGTATAAGATTATTCCCTTAAGTATCAATAGAAGATGGTAAGATCCTGGGACATTTTCAAGGGGAAACCCTGCAGCTGCTGACTTTATGCAGAATGACAGCTGAAGGCTCACAACAGCCCGAGAGGCCTCACACGACCTACACTCCTACCTTCCCTTGCTGCCCTCACTCTTTCCTGCTCTTCTGCAGCGCTCTTCCCAGGGCTCTGCACAGCTTTTCTGCCCACAGCCTCTTTCCCCAGGTCCACCTGGCTTGCTCCCTTCCTCCCTCAGGTTCACACACCTGCCACTCAAACACAGCAAGCCCTTCCCTGCCTTCACATCCCCCCCTCACCCTGCTTTAACGTTCTCCACAGCACTTGGAACCATCTGACGTACTGTTTATTATTTGTCCCTTTGTTAAAAGTAAGTGCCAAAAGGGTAGAGATGATGTTTTCATCACTACTGTATCCTCTCAGTACTTGGAACAGTGCCTGGAACATAGTAGGTGCTCAATAAATATTTGTTAAATAAATAAAAACTTAAAAAGCAAGGTGCAAAACACCTTAGTACAGCATGATACCTCCTGTGTTTAAAAGAGGGGTGCTGGTAACCACACATATTTATATTTGCTTGAAATGCAAGGATAACTGAAGGTTGGTAGGAAAGTCTTAGTAGGAACTGAGTAGACTGTAAACCCTTACATTTTTTTGAATTTTAAACCATGTTTTCTATTTTAAAAAATCAAACAGCCCTAGCTGGGTAGCTCAGTTGGTTATAGCATCGTCCCACTATGACAAGGATGCAGGTTCGATCCCCAGTCAGGGCACATACAACAAGCAACCAATGAATGCATAAATAAGTGGAGCAACAAATTGGTGTTTCTCTCTCCTGCTCTCTCCTTTCCTCACTCTCTCTAAAATCAATTTAAAAAAATCAAAAAAATTTCAAGTGCTTCAGTATACCCAGTTACTGTCCATGAGCACGCCCTCTGAATATCCTGGGTTTTCCTCCAATTCTTTTTTCAAGTGGGATACTTCTCTGTGGTCTTATCATGCACAATTGTAAGATAACACAAATCTGTACCATAGGAAGCTTATGAAATTTATCTCAGTATCTATGGTCAGACTTTTCTGTCTCAATAACACTTAAATTCTTAATTTTGATTTCATTAGAATAATGAGAAGAGAATAACACAAGAGACGCATGACAAAGACGACATCACCACCTTCAATTACTTGCCTGTTGCACAGCTTTTTGGGAAGATTTATGTCGAGTATATGAGACAAAATGTTGGCCAGCTGAGTCGCATAGCACAACGCAGCACTGATCGTGTAAGCAGGGTTGTTATGTTCCATGTCTAAAGTATAAAAAAACAGCCATACACAAAACCACCTTAATTTCAACAAAAATATGAATTAATCTATATAATTTCTAATTTCATCATTACAATGATGGCTACATTTTAATCCTTACTAATAAAAGGTCCACATTTCATTGTTTATGGTTTTTACTAAGTGAAACCTAACCAAACGGGCCTCAATAGGCCCAGCATAAATGAAATTGAAGTCTGAACTGCTTGAACCTGATAATGTCTTACCAAAACAGTGCCTAGAGAAGCCTCCCTGACTATCCTACGGAAGAGCAGTCCCCTCCTCTGTAGCCCCGCCCACGGCACACACTCCGTGTATGGTGCTTTTGGTCACCACTTGCTTACTGTCCTCCCCACAGAAATGCAAAGGGCTCACCTGTCTCAGTGACATCACCTTTGTGTCACCGGCACACGCCACTGTACACGACAGAAAGCACATACTCACTAAATATTTGCTGAATGACTAAGTGAACAATCCTGCACCAAAGAAAAGCTACAGGAGTTGTAAAGGGTTTCTCTATGTGGTGCTCACTCTCCACTTAGGACTGCTAAAACAAGCTCCTTACAAAGTTAACTGTAAGAATGGGACTCAGGCTAAATACACTTCTTTAAATAGTGAGGTCTTTTTATATAAAGCAGTATTGACCCCGAAAAGGTGAAATGTCTAAAATACGTTTTCACTACATCTACAGGTGGAGGAAGAACATGTGGTATGTCCATACAATGGAATGTTATTCAGCCATTAAAAGAATGAAATGCTGATACATGCAACAATGTGGATAAACCCTGAAAACATGCTAAGTGAAAAAAGCCAAACACAAAAGGCCACGTATTGTGTGATCCCATTTATATGAAATATCCAGAATAGACAAAACTACACAGACAGAAAGCAAATTAGTGATTGCCAGGGGCTCGGCTCCAAGGAGGAGGAATGGGGAGTGACTGCTTTATGCCCTGGAGTGTCCCTTTGGGGTGATGAAATGTTTTGGAACTAGACAGAGGTGCTGGTTTTACAACACTGTAAATGTAATAAATGCCAATGAATTATTAGCTTTAAAACTTCGTTTTGTTATGTAAATTTTACCTCAATTAAAAGATACATGTTTATAAAAGTTTTCAAAGACTATTTTGCTTCTCACCAGGCCCCTGCGTGGTTTTCTTCTCTTCCACCCAATTATAGTAGGCAGAGTAGTCCCCGTTGTTGGGCAGGCTAATCCAAGGCCCTGTGATGCTAATGCTGGTGTCCCCATTGTGGTCATCACAGACCCATCTCCCAGAGTGGTAGGTCGTCCTCCGGGCTTCAGCAAGCTTGCTCACGGTGCTGGAGGTCATGGCACTGTCACTCTCTGAAGACACATCTGCGGGATCTCTAAAAATCAGGAGATGCATATGGATTTCAAGGGACCAGGATTTAAAGGGTATGCAATACACTTGCCAGATATGCAGAATGCTGGAAAGATGTAGACAAGGACAGGAAGTGACTTGGAAAATGCAGAAATAAGTGATTGTTCTCAGAGATGAAGATCAAACCAGCTGTGGCACAGAAGCCCACAAGGGTATAAGGACAGGGCACCATGAGCGAGGGCCTCAAATAACAGGTTCTCAGATTACTTGGTCTCAAGATCCCTTTATGTGCTTAAAAATTTCTGAGGACCCCAAAGAGCTTTTGTGTCTGTTGGTCAGATCTATTGAGATTTACTGTATTAGAAATCTGAGAACATTTTAAATTAAAAAATAAGAGATCTAGTACATGTTAACACAGCGTGTCTTTATGAAAAATCTGTATTTTTCAAACCAAGAACATCAGTAACGAGTGACAACACTAAGCAGCTGAATCACACAGCACAAAGCAGCACTGATCAAGATTTTTTGAAAATCTCCGTAATACCCATGCCTTTCAAGTGTCCCATGAGAAAAGCAACCACTGCTTGGAACACTCAAGTGATTTTCCCTGAGCCAATGATGGCACTTCAGCCTGCAGCAAAGGCAGTTTTTGCATACTTCCCCTTTCACCATACGCTATACTAAAAAGAAGTGTATGCAGGGCCAAGACAGTAACATTTAAATAAAAACTAGTTATCTCTATTGCTTCATCAAGAACGTTCTTGTTGAAAAACTGGTGTGTTTTTTTTTAATGCAAGTACATGGTAGAATACAATGACTATTACTACAGCTTGGTGTCACTGTTTTGAAATGTATCAGGCGCCAGAGGTTTTACCCACCATGGCTTCCGAGTCACCAGTGCAAATGTCAACAGAGTGAAAAAGGGAAGGTGTTAGTATTATTATATAAAAAATAGTTTTGGCTGCACGGACCCCCTGAAAGGGTTGCAGAGGCCCACAGAGGTCCACAGGCCACAGTTTGAGAAATGCTGGTCTAAAGAGTGATGGGAATGAGAAGTCATAGCAGTACAAATGCACAGGAGGGAAGAACACAGTGTGTTTGGGGAGCAGAGATGATCCGTGGGGTTGTGTGTAGAATGCACAAAGGAAGTGCTGGAAGACAATGTTGGAAAAGTGGGCAGGAAATGGGAGACTAGGAAGGGCCTTCTGCGCTGCACTGTTTAGATTCTGTTCTCTTGGCCAGTGGTTCTCGACTCTTTTTCCTTCTGCCACATGCACAGCGTAACTCCTACTGTCACAGATAAGCCTGGGGTGAGGAGACCGTGGCCAGTTCCAAGCTGTGCTGCTGCTTCCTCCTCCCATTCAATCAAGTTTGAGAAATGTGAACAAGAAATTTAATTACAGGGATAACTTCCACATCATCAGCTTAAAAAAAGTAATGGTATATAATAATATATACTAATAGAAAAAATTAGAACAGCACAGGTAGAAAGGAGAAAGTTTTTCTCCATGTTTTCTCTTCTGCAACTCTTGTGTGCAGTTGTTAGTCTCCTAGGTGGCCTAAAACCTGCAAGCGTCGTCTTAGTCTTTGTCTATTGGAGTGTGCTTAACACTGGTATCTTGGCTCGGAGAATTTTTTTTTGACCAATACGAAAGTTTATTTAACAAAAGTTCAATGTTTAAATGTAGATGAACTGATTTTGATATTGTAGTAAAACAGGTGGAGAGGGGACTGTGGAAGCAGCTGATTTCTCTGGTGAACACAGCCATTTTTATATTCATTCTAAGGCTTCTGACAAGATGATACTATTTCCTCATATTACCCCCATTCCAATATTGTCTGCTGCCTGCTAGTTGTCATCTCCATGCATGCATCTATCACAAGATTCATAAAGGGATCAAATCCTCCAATATTCCTTGGACATGATGCCACCATTTAATTTCAACGATAACTTCTAGTCTGTAAATTTTTTTAACTTGGGAGCGTGAGCCTTGCTCATAGTGTCTAGTCTGTGAGTTCAGAGATACCTCCAAAAAGGAATCTGTGGCCTTTCTCACACTGCCATTCTCACACTGCCACGGCAGGCACAGCCCATGAGAATTTCATATGGCATAATGCTTCTGTTTTGTCAGCTTTTTGTTCCCTTTGGCCTGGCTAGCTGTCTTTGATTCATGAGGGTATCCATGTACTACTGCTTAAGAGCAGACTTAGGATAGCTGGTGCTCGACAGCAGCTAGTCACCAGTAAAATGCTGCTACCAAGTAAGAAACACCAAGCACCAGGCGCTTTCTCCCATTTCAGTTCATGATTTCCATCTAAAGTGGGCATTTATTATCCCTGTATAACACAAGGAAATAAGACTTCAAGGTTCGAGAACCTGCCTCACAGCACTTAACCAATAAACAACCCAACTGGGATTGCAGCCAACATCAGCCATCACATGGCTTTGATCAGGAGTGAGTCAGCACCTCATCGGGAAGCTGACAGAGCACACAAGTTAGGGCCCCACTGCTCTGAGGGCCGCCGCCCTTTACCTTGGCTGCCTCCCCAACTTCATGCAGTGTGCAGTGTTTGCTCAAGCAGATAAGACTTCATTCAGTTTAATTACCAGGAAAACCAATGGCCCTAGAATGAGGTCAAATAAATAAGGTGATGACACACTTGAAAAGTACTTGGTCTTTGGAACCTGAATTATTCTAGAGTCAAAAGACTTGGTTACTATACCTCGCACCAGTCTTTACTTCCTCGATTGGAAAAATGACAGACGTGAGCTCTAATATATGCGATCGCCGAAGATTTGCCAGGCGCTCATAATGACTTTTTAAATCGATGGTCTTTTTTTCTACTAGGTCACCAAGTTTTCGATTGTGCCTCTGAATCTTCTCCTTTTTCTCTTGATGCCGTTGTGCTCGAGTATAAAGCTTTTGGTTCTTTTCCTTGGTTTTGAGAAGACCTTCAGAATCTAAAATAAATCACACTCAACAATTATCTCTACAAATAGTTCCTGGACTCTATTAACTCCCTTAAAACTGTTTGCAAAAGGTTGTGAGCATGGCAACCAGCCTGCATTTATGTTCTAAAGAGCAGGGTTCCTGAGCCCAGCAGGCCATCCGAGCCACTCAGAGTAGTGCACTCAAAGTGGGGCCTATGGATCTCGTCTGATTTTACCAATCAGACAAGATAAGTACAGAAACACAGACTACGTATAGAACGTTTTTTCTTTGACGTGGCAATCTGACACTGCCGTAACATTCAAGTGTGTGATCATTCTTCTAGTAATTTATTTTATTGTGCTTTTTAAAAGTATTGGTATCGGTTTATGACAGACTGGAAATCAAAGAGAAAAGGCTGGTCTTTTACTACAGACAGTTTAAGAACCACTGACCCAGGCCCCATGCACGAGACTGTAATTTCCTCAATCCAGGGTGGGTCCCAGATTCTCTCTCTAGGTTTTAAAGGTTACCAGGTCACTCTGCTAGGGATGGAAACCACTGTTTCAGGTCCACTCCACTACTTTAGAACCATGTCTTTTATTTTCCATGATTGTTGCTTTTGTATTTTGGTGTAAGGAATCTATTAGAACTGATTAAAGTTTTCAACTTGTTCATCAGAGAAATGCACAAGCTCAGTAAATTCAGCAATTTCAGGAGGTTCTCAGATGCCTGGCAGCAAACCCCTGGTGTGAACATCACGGCAGGATGGGGAGAGAGGGTGCACCAAGGGTAAGCGATGAACCCCTAAGCTGCGGCTGGACCAGAGGCTTTGGAGATGCATGCAAAGCCCAGCGGGCGTGGTCCCGAGCCCCCTTCATCATGCCGCCCTGCTTCTCTAGCATATTAAGCATGTGAAACTCCACATGAGAACTTTACGAGGACAAACCTTCAAAGGAAGCTTTTGCACCCTGCGAACCACTACAAGATTCTGCTTCTGAAAGCAATGACTAGAGAAGGGATTCACAAGGTACGACAGTGACTTATTCTAAACTTTAAACACTGATCTTCAGAAATACACAAAATATTTCCAAGGATGCAGTATTTCTAAGAGGACTCTCTTAAATTTTGATAATTACCTCTGATAGAGTATCAATAAAAATACAGATTAAAATATGTAGACACACTATAGAAGAAAAAAAATAGTACTCTGTGCCTCTGGTAGGAACTAATAACTATAAATGGGTACCAAGTTAGGCTGAGTCACCAATTAGCAAAGGCGAACATACTTCCTTAACTTTTTAAAGTAAGAAAGGTAGCAGGTTATTTATTTTAATCCTCATCCAAGAATATTTTTTCCCTTGCTTTTCAGAGAGGGAGGGAGGGAGGGAGGGAAACACCGATGTGAGAGAGAGACATCAACTGGATGCCTCCTGCACACTCTGACCAGAACCAGGGATGAGCCTGCAACCGAGGCCCACGCCCTTGGCCGGAATTGAACCCGGGACCCTTCAGTCCACGGCTCGAAGCTCTAATCACCGAGCCAAACTGGCCAGGGCAGGTAGCAGGTTATTTAAAGGGCTTTATATAAGAACTCCTACCCAAAGGTTTCATAAGGAGAGGAAGGCAAGCAGTAAACCTTCCAGGTTGCTGTTGCCCCACCACCCCTCCTCTCTTTTTCTCTGTCTCTCTAGTTTATTAATCCCATGAAATTCCACATGAGCTCTTTATTAGGGCTGGAGGGAGGAGGTCAAATTACTTACTTTTCTTCATTTCTTCATTTCCTTTACATATTGTTTGTTTCAACTGTTCAATCCTCATCTTGCAGGACATTATTTTCCATCTCTTAAAAAAAGTATGCAATAAATATCAGAAATGTTGGTCTCATAATTAATATGATTATCTACCTGGTATCACTATTTTTTAGGTATATCTTAGAAAACATAATGAAGACCATGATATTTACTATAGCTTTTGTAACTATGGTAAATTACCAAGAAGAAAAAAAATAGTGTTATTCTGTTTCATTGCAGAAGCTGCTAGAAAATTAAGAGAGAGAAATTCACAGGGAAGAGTGTGGAAGGATACTCTCTTAATATGCTCTGTCCAATATATAGCTACTGGTCACACATGGCTATTTAAGTCAATTATAATTACATAAAATAAAAAATTCAGTTCCTTACTCACACTACCCATATGTCACATGCTCAACACATGTAGCTAATGGCTACCATACTGGTCTGTGTAGGTACAGAACATTTGGGTCACCACAGAAAGTTCTATTGATGCCCTGCTCTAAACTCTTAGTGCTAGTTATAGAGGAGTCCACTGACATCACTGTATTATCTCACTGATACAATAAACAAACATTATTTTCAAAATAATTAAACTGTGATAAAAATAGAAAATTTTTTTTTTTAAATATATCTTTATTGATTTCAGAGAGAGGAAAGGAGAGGGAGGGAGAGAGAGAGAGAGAAGCATCAATGATGAGAGAGTCATTGACTGCGCCCGCAACCTGGGCATGTGCCCTGACCGGGAATCAAACCCCAACCGGGGAATCAAACCCCGATCGCCTGGATCCCAGGTCGACGCTCAACTGCTGAGCCACGCCCGGCCGGGCTAAAAATAGAAATTTTTTGAAAAGTATATAACTAATAGAAGATTTCTTGAAAAGCCTCAATGATATGAAACATGAAATTTCCTCTTTACATTACCAGGATTTAGGTATTGCTTCCCCCAAGGGGAATGAAGGATCAGTAAAAACTCGACCTACTAGTCAGTTTAAAAATATAATTATTCCATAATGCCCCCATAAATGTGACTAATTAAAAGCTTAAAACAGCATTCAAATGTTGGTAGTGTTTGGTAGTATAATAATACGAAGTAGGTTACAAGGATGTTCTGGTGGGCAACATGCTAACCTTGCCAATGGAGTGAGAGACATCTGAAAACAGGTTTGTGGGGACGGGTGGATTCAGAAGGGGCAACGAGATGTCTTCAGTTTTAAAAGTCTTTATGAATCAATATTGAAATTTTTGATCGAAACATTAGAAAACAGTACAGGGAATGCAGAAAAATTGGGATGGGATTCTTTATAAATGGCCTTTTATAATCTTTTTCTCTACAGCATATTTTGTTTCTATAACATTCAAAGCATGAATAGAATTTACCTACATTACAAATGTTCTTTAAATTATTTAAAAACTATGAATGATGCTTATTATTGTGAAAAAAATTACACATCGAAGATGAGAAAAGAGAACGTAATTGTTAGCCTGACTCCCCTTCCCATTCCTCGGGGGTAATCTCAATTCAAGTTTGATGTGCATCTTTTCAGACTTTTTAGAGTATATTTCTGTTTAAAGCACACACAGAAACTGAACCATACTTAACTCTAGCCTACACTTTTTGATTTTTCATTAAGAAATATATGCTGGACATCACTCTGTTTCAAAACATGTAGATTGACCAAATTCTTTTTAACAGCTACACAATATCGTATTTATTGCATCCCGACTAATTAGCATTTAGTTTATTTATATATTAACTTTACTATTAGTGCTGCAATCAGTTCTTTATCCATAAGTCTGCATTCATGCGTATTTCCTTAAGAGGAAAATTGCCAGATATACCACATGTGCATTTAAAAAATGAACAAAAAACACTTCCCCCTATTCTCATTTTCTTTTTCGTTCACTTTTCACTTTTCATCATTACTCCATCTAAAGTATGTGTGTGTGTTTATGATGAGTAAGTTTTCTCTAAAAGGATAGCCCATTGTTCTTATATTTCTATGTCAATACCAGACTTCATAACTAACCTTTATGACAGCTCCCTAATTAACTGTCAATACCCAGTTTTTGGTATCTAGATAAAATATTTGAGAAGCCCACACTACAAATATATTCATAGGGAGGACTTCCAAAAATGAGCAAAAACATTTTTTTAAGCTCTACCAACTTAACATGTAACCTCAAGTACAAACAATATTATTTAAATAGTTCTTAAAGCTTACCAACTGATCTGTTATCCATTTTCCTTCCATAGCTTTTAATACCCTGTATGGAGAAGAGATAGAATAAGCTCTTAAAATAATTAAATTTTCTGAAGCTCAAAATGTAAAATCAACAACTTTTTAAAACAAGTTCTTATAAATGGCTAGAAACAGCAAAGTGGGACTGAGGCATTTAAAACAGTGTTCTCCAAATTCTGTTCTCTGCAACTTTTCTCATCTCCTTCCCTTTGCACTTCTAACACAACTCAGAGCCTTTCCATAAGCGTTCATAATAAACTTCCACAACAGCCAGAGCCTTTGTCTTCAGTAATAATTAATTATCAGTCATAATTAATGATAGTTATGAGAATTCATGACTGAAAATGCTAAGATCATCACCCAAAGAGGAGGCACAAGCCAGTATGTGCAAGTATTTGTTTTATGAAGTGTTCTGTAGAAATAAAAGTTTCTGCCCTGGCCAGTGTGGCTCATTTGGCTGGGGTGTTGTCCCATACACCAAAAGGTTGTGGGTTCAATTCCTGGTCAGGGCACATACCTTTGTATTTGATCCCTGGTAGGGGCACGTGAGAGAAAGCAATGGATTGATGTTTCTCACATCGATGTTTCTTTCTTTCTCTCTCTTCCCCTACCCCCCTTTCTTAAAAAAATAAATAAATCATTAGGCATGTCCTTGGGTGAGGATTAAAATGAATGAATGAATGAATGAATGAATGTTTCTGTGATTGAATAAATTAGGGAAATAACTGAGTTAAATTAATCCAAGCAGGTTCCTCTAATGCAACGAACCTCAGAATATTTAATCTACTTAGCAATGTGTTTATCACGCTCAGGGTGTGTCTCCAGAACAGTGACTGGGTCAGTTTGAGAGAGAAGGTTCTACAGGAAAATTCTTAAATCCAGAGTGAGAGAGATACATCAGAGGTGCTCAAGTTAATAACTCAGATTCCCAGGGCTCCCCCTGACCTACTAAATCAGAAATCTGAGGACAGGATTTTAAGAATCTGTATTTTTAACCATTACCTCAATTAATGAATTCTGATATTGATGATCTGTAGATCACACTTTGCAAAAACACTGATAAAGAAGAAAGGTAAATGGAAGCAGTAACGTACTATAGGTGCTACCATCACTAACTTAAGACCAATATGCCTACTGTCCGGGACCCATTTGCCACATATTAATGATCAGGGCTGGGGGCTTGATTCATTAATCCTGTCACTGACTGCCTACTATGTACAGGAACTGGGTCTGATCCCAATATTTTCTAGAAACTTGATAGATTTCCTATGTTGCTTCTCCAAGATGCACTGCTCTTCCATACTTTCAGACTGTATCCTAAATTTAGTAAATTAGCAATCCCTATCTGTATACCACAGCAGCATTGAATTAAACCACATGGTGACTAGATAACCCCCACAAATTAAAAAGCAAAATGAAAACTCACTCTTTCTGAAATTCTTCTTGTTTGCTCTTAAGTTGGCTTAACCGTTCCTTCTTGTCTATAAACCTGTAAGAAGAAAAATCACTGTTTTATTTAAATATTTGTGTTTGGTTTTTTCAGTTCAATCAGATTATACAAACTCCTGGGAGCCAATCACTTCTACAGACTCATCTGGAAATGACACTGTCTTAAAAGTAAGTACTGTATACAACGTCTCAGTGGGATGCACGTAGCTGCTCACCACTTGGTTATTTTATTTTATAAAATATATCTTTATTGATTTCAGAGAGAGGAAAGGAGAGGGAGAGAGAAACATCAATGATGAGAGAGTCATCGATCGGCTGCCTCCTGCACACCCCCGACAGGGGAACTGAGCCCACAACCCGAACATGTGCCCTGCCTGGGAATCGAACCACGATGTCCTGGATCCTAGGCTGACGCTCAACTGCTGAGCCACGCCTGGCTGGGCACCACTTGGTTATTTTAAAACTAAGTTCAAACTCTCAGCTTCAAAATTCTTTCATGAGTTTATAAAATGTCTACAGGTTTCCACCCCTAGGTTAAATTATTTTCCTATCAGGCACATGAGAGTACTAACGTGAATTTGAATTCAAAGAAAGTGAGGTTTCTGTTATAAAAATAATTTTAATTATTAAGCTTAATTTAATCCTGTTCTCATCTATCAATTTGTTCCTTATAGTTTTTAAAGTACAGTTTTTTTTCTCACTGATTTTATTGTTAGTCATTGCAGGTTAACAAGTTACTTAGTAAAAGTTATTAAAAGGAAGGGATATATTGCAGCTCATTTTTTCTGTCAGTCTTCTACTCCTATCATTATTATTTTTGTTCTATTATGTTATTTGGGGTTTAGTTTGCCCCTTTTTGCAGCTTATAGTGAAAAGTCAAATCATGATTTTATGCCCCCTTTCCTTGTTAATATAACCATATAAAGTAAAAATCTCCCTCTAAGTATTGCTTTAGCTACATCGAAAATTTTGATGCAGTGTATTTTCATTAACATTTAGTTTGAAATTTCGTTTTCCCTAAGATTCCTTCTTTGATTCACAAGTTATTTAGAAGTGTATTGTTTAACATTCAGATATATGGGCTTTACTAGGTAACTTGTTACTATTTCCCTGTTTAGTTCTGATGTAGTCATAGAATATACAGTGAGATTTCAGTCTTTTGATTTGAAACTGCTTTATGGCCGTGGTGGAAGTTCCATGTACACTTGAAAGAATGTGTGTTCTATAGCTCCTGGTACGATGCTCTATAATGTCAGCTAGCTGAAGATGGCTAACAGTGTCACTCAAGATCTTCCAGATCTGTGCTGTTCAATATGGTAAACACCAGTCACACGTGGCTACTGAACACCTAAAATGTGGCTTGTTGCTTAATAAGAATTTGATTTTTTAAATTGCATGACTAACATTGTGCAAGTGAATTTCAAGTGAGTTAACAGTGGCTCACTATTTTCAAAGAAACAATGGTAATGCCACATGCTATGCAACATGGTATGGAGCCTATCTCCCGAATTTCTAGCCTAAATGAAAACAATTTAACAGAACCGTACCAGCCCTAAAAACCACTTCCTTACAATAATCTAGAAGTCTCTCTAAAACACTATTTCTATAACCCCATGTTTGAAACATACCCAAAGATATCTACTTCTAAATGGAAAGGATAAAATGGTTTAATTATGACCGTTTAATAGTCACTGAAAATGTACAATACATAATATATTTAAAAAGCAAATCAGGCAGTATTATATGTGACAGAATTATATTCTTATATGATGACTAAGTTAAAATTAAAAATTCAGTTCCTGCCCTGGCCGGTGTGACTCAGTTGGTTGAGTGTCATCCCATGCACTGAAAGGTCTCCAGTTCGATTCCTGGTCAGGGCACATACCCAGGCTGCAGGTTCGATCCCCAGTCAAGGAGTAGGATCGATGTTTCACTCTCACATTGATGTTTCTCTCTCTCCTCCCTTCTCCCATCCTCCCTTCCTCTTTCTAAAATCAATAAAAACATATTTTTAAAAAATTCAGTTCCTCAGTTGCACTCACCACATTTGAATAGTCCCAAATGGCCGGCAACTACAATATTAGACTGTGTAGAAACAGAACATCGTGCCAGAAAGTTCTATGGGTAGCACTGCAATGGCCTACTGGTGGTTACTGCATGAAGCAGTATTAAAAATCTCAGAAACCAATGTGGATGTAGACAAACCCATAGATTTATCAATTAACTTATCAGGCTTTTACTATGTGCCTGCAACTTATGAAAAAGAATCTGCCACAATATTAAGAAATTTAATGATATATTAGAGCTGTGTACTCTTGGACATATTGCTTATTTGTTATATGCTTCCATTTCCTTGTATCAAAAATGAGAAACTAATGTGGTATTTATTTCTATCTCACTAAGGCAATGTGGTGATTCATGTTCTTATAACCTAAGGGAGATGACAAACTGATAAGACTAATCAAATCCTGCAAAAAAGGACTGACAGGGACGATAAAATCTTCCTTTTAAAACTTATGAAAGTTCTCCTTTCAGATCTGTCATAAAAATGCCACTCGCTTTGCACTAGAACAAACTGGGGTGATAAACAACTCTGCCCAACTTTATAAGAGCTGGTTGATTCTCTTGGGTTTTGTTAAAAAACACACAAAAGAAACAAAATTTAAAACAAATATACAGATAACAATAGGAACAATAAACAGAAGATAATTCCCGCTGTACCAAACACTTCATGAGTCATGTTATCCTTCATGAAGGAAATTAAAAATAAGTGGTGTTAACAAATCTAAACAGCAGATGATATCAAAGAATGTGGCTGGGTCAGCATTTCAACTGCTCATCAGCACACTCATTCATTCTCTGTGTTCTCCAGCCCACTGCTCACGGTAATAAATAAAAAAGTCACTCCACAATTCTGTGGTTTCTCAATATGGTTTCCAACAAGTGGAAAGATTAAGAAATAGTCATCATATTCAAACTAGTCTTAACGACACAAAAGGGGCCCTTGGCTGGTGGGGCTCAACTGATTAGAGTGTTGTCTTGTATACCAAAAGGTTGCAGATTCAATTCCTGGTCAGGGCACATATCTCCCCGCCCCCCCTTTCCATTTTCTAAAATCAATAAGCAGCCCGGCCAGGCGTGGCTCAGCGGTTGAGTATCGACCTAGGATCCAGGAGATCGGGGGTTCGATTCCTGGTCAGGGCACGTGCCCGGGTTGCGGGCTGCAGCTGATCAATGACTCCTCATCATTGATGTTTCTATCTCTCTCTCTCCCTCTCCTTTCCTCTCTCTGAAATCAATAAAGATATATTTAAAAATAAAATAAAAAATAAAATAAAATCAATAAGCATATCCTTTTTGAAGATTAAAAACAAAAAAGGGGGAAGGAATCATATTTTATGTACTTTCAAGTTGAGCTTATCAAATAAAATATCTGGTATGTTTTTCCATGTCAGAACCTATAAAATCTATCTCATTCTTTAACAGGTACACAGAATTTCATCAAATAGACATCATATAATTTATTTATATAAACTCCTACTGAACAATGCCATTGCTTCCAGTTTTTCACTGTTATCAATATTATAAATGAAATCCTAGCACACAAATCTTTACAAGCTTTGAAGATTTTCTATGAGAAATTCCTACTAATAAAATAAATAGCTGGGTCAAATATTTAAATGCAAAATTCTGGCAGTTATTTTTAAAGTTCTTCTGAATCACTTAATATAATTCACAACCCCACCAGTAACAGAATCTGTTTTTTCATACTCTCCCCAAACACTGCACATTTCTTTCTAGTCTTTGCTAAACCAACTGGCCTCCCATCCCTTTCCCCCAAAGATAGTTCATAATTCATTTTGCTAGAAATGTTGAATGCCCTTTCCTATCTAATTAGCCACTAACTTTTTTGTTATTCTTGTCTATGTCCTTTATCCATTTTTCTATAGTTTTTTTTAAGGGTTATTAGGGAAATCAGCCATTTTCCTTTTATACATCTTAAAAATTCCCCTCCCCTGGCAACCTGCTCTCTGACTACTCACATTTCTGTTCTACAGAATTTTCCAGTTTTTATGCAGGTACATTTACCTTTTGTTTGTTTAATGACTAGTTTCTGTGTTGTTCCTGAAAGGAATCTACCAGTGGACTTATACCACGCACCATGGTGTTTACAGCACTGTTTTTTATATTCTCTCCTAATTTATTTATTTTTAAATATATCTTTATTGATTTCAGAGAGAGGAAGAGACAGAGATAGAAACATCAATGATGATAGAGTCATTGATCCGTTGCAGCCCACAACCCGGGCATGTGCCCTGACCGGGAATCAAACCCCGATCTCCTGGATCCTAGGTCGACGCTCAACCGCTGAGCCACGCCCGGCTGGGCCTCTCCTAATTTAAAAAGGCCTTCTATATTATTTATCAAATTTCTCCACTTACAAGACCTCCCCCCCCTAAAAAAGTACTCCCTTAGGCCTGGCAGGGCATGGCTCAGTGGTTGAGCATTGACCTAGGATCCAGGAGATTGTGGTTCGATTCCCGGTCAGGCCATATGCCCGAGTTGCGGCTCATCCCCAGTCGGGGGCGTGCAGGAGGCAGCCGATCAATGACTCTCTCATCATTGATGTTTCTCTCTCTTTCCCCCTCTCCCTTCCTCTCTCTGAAATCAATAAAGATGTATTAAAAAAAAAAAATACTCCCTTAATTAAATTGACTATTGTCCCCTAGATTCTTCCAAACATTAGCAAATAATTACTTTTTCCTGTTAAAAAACCCCCTTAAATTGACTTTCAAACAGTCTCCCTTCAACAAAGGCTGATGGGAATGAGGAGAGGAGTGGTCACCCAGCACCCAGGTTGTACAAGAGACGGCGCACCACCCAGTTCAGGCTTCAGAGGGAGCTTTCTGGGAGATATGCCTATCAGGGCAAAGACCTGGGGATGAGCTAGAGCTGTCTCTGTTAAGGGAAGGAAGTCATTACAGGCAGAGGAAATTCCGTTGTTTCACAAGGTAAAAAATTAATTTCTCCTGCATTTCA